AATAATAATAATAATAATAATAATAATAATAACAATAAAAGTAGCAACAGCAACAATTATAATTAAAATAACAGTAATAGTAACAGTAATAGTAATAGCAGGAGTAATAACAATAATAATAATAATAATAATAATAATAACAGCAATAACACTAATAATGATAACAATGAGAATAAATGCCAATATGGCAACTGTTATTATTATCATTGATATTTTTATCATTAATAATAATTGCTATACAGGCAATTGTTGCCGTCGTTATTATTACTGTTGTTATTATTGTTATTACTGTCACTATTATTATTATTATCACTAAAATAAACAAAAACGAATAAAAAATATAAATACAAATAACAAAGGCATACATATGGAAACATGTGAAAGACCAGTGTTGACGGTCATCGCACAAAAATAGTGCATACAATATTGTAAACAGAAATTTAAACATTTAACAGCGACAAGAAAAATAACAACTTCAACGATAACAACTGATAATACGATACCTGTTATAAAAGTAACAAAAAAAAGAAAGTTTTTTGCATTGGAAACAGATGGAACAACCTTTTCTCTATTTTAACAGTGAAGATATGAAAAAAGGACAGGCACTGAACACAACAAAGTCAAAGTACTAAACAACGACCAAGAAATGAGAATGAACGACAGTTAAACAGAAGACACTGACTGATTGAGAAACTGAGTGACTTAATTACTAAATGACTGACCGACTAAGCGACTGACTAGCTCACTAGTTCACTGACTTAGTTACTAACTTACTGACTGGTGATGAACAGGCACTCTTAAGAGCGCAAAACGAGATGGGGTTTCCTTATATCGGCTCCCTCCCCTTTTTTCTCTGTCCTTCTAAGCGTTTGTAAGTGCCTGCCTGTTTCAAGGACTCCGGTTGCCCGAATGCCGTAATGGTGTTCGGCTATTCGGAGCTACTGATGAACGCACACAGAACGAACATAATTTTTGCAATTTTCCGTGCTTCAATAGGTTCTGAGAGCAGAATACATAAAGAAAAAAGCAAAAACTGAAAAAGAATTCAAAATGCAAAAACTGAAATTTAGCCTTCACAATGTTTTCCACAACAGGATAGGAAGCATCAAGACTAAGATCTCAATTTCTTTTGTCCTCTCACTTCTTCCATCTTTTCATTTCTCCTCCTATAATTATTGCTCACTCGCAACACTAGAGATAACAAAAACCCAATGAGTAATTTATGTAATTTTTTTTATGGTACACAAGAAATGGAGATAAAAATAACAAAAAAAAGGGAAAAATAAGAACAGGAACAAAATGCCAAAAAAAGGAACAGCAAATATCGAAAGTAAACGTTCCACTTGCTATTCACTGCCCCTTCGTCAGATAGTCCAGCTGAATTTGTTCACAGCTGATAATCGCAACCCCTAATCAAATCCCTAAAAGAAACAAAAAAAAAAAAAACGATATATATGTATATGCCGATAAAACCAAAAGATTTGTTGTCGTTGTTGTCAGAGTAGAAGCTGAACAGAGCAGAGCAAAAAAATTACCAAAAAGAAAAAAAAAAGAATAAATAAACCTCATTTACTTCTTAGCTCATTATCTTTTCCGCTCTCTCTTTTTCCATCACATTTCGCCTTCACAATTAAAAAGACAGGAAAAAAATGTGCAAAAAAATGCCGCTGCAAACCTTCTTTTTGGCAAATAAATTCTGCTTTCTTTTTATTTTATATTTCTTTCCTCTCCTAATTTCACATTTTTTGCTATCTTTTTTTTTTTCTTTAAATTTGTCTTTTTTTTGAACCGAATAAGCATCTTTGGAAATCCTCTTTTTATCTTTAAAAGTGCGCCGAAATGACGATGAAAGCATTTTAAAACCGCGATAAACCGTACAGGACAACAAACTTAGAACCAAAGCAGTCATTTGGGCACCTCTTTGAAACAGTTTTCTACCAGTACTACCGACCACCGTCGTCACTGCCATCATTACTGCAACCAACAACAAAACCAGCATCTTTACCAGTAACGGCACCAACTAACTACCTGCAGATCTGTCTGGCTTGACTGCATTTGAATATTGAAGAAAAAACACTGGTTTCCCTTGG